GATCTGCTTAGAAATAACTTTACGCATTCCTCTAAGACAAAGTAATTATAAAGCGTGAAATATGCCATGTCCAACAAGCCACCAAAAAAAGCCATAAAGGCTTATGAAGCAAAAGTCCATATGCATAGTGCCGATAATTTAGAAGCAGAAAACTCTGATGATATTGGCAATCTTTCCGTTTGTAACAATGCGATTGAAAATAATAATGCTGCAAGCATTATGAAAAGATTTCAAGCAGCGGCTCAACAATATGATCATAACAGTGATAACACTGATGATAATGATGATAATTTTTCTGCTTATAATGAGCCAATTGAAAATGATAATGCTGAAAACATTGTAAAAAAACTTCAAAATGCAGTAAATAAATATTACCAGGAATATAATTATAATCAAACTCGTAGACTACGTTATCTAGGAAACTCGGTCCGTACTAAAAGAAGAAAAAAGACAGCAACAACATGAGGCAGCAAAAGGAACCCCTCCACTACATACCTTTTGGAATCAAGAAAAATTACAGGCTAGTGGAGAAGAATTGTATGATGAACAGTCAGAGAATGAAGATCAGTTGGAGAAAGTCAATGAGGAACAATCAGAGAATGAAGATCAGTTGGAGGAAGTCAATGAGGATGAGGAAGATTTTGGGGGATTGTCAGAGGACGAGATTGAAGCTTGTAATTTACTTAAAAAAATTCCAGCCGCTCTTGAAAATCTAGCATTAGATATCGAAAAAGAAAACGTAAATAGTGAGGTTTGGATTCGTCTTAATAGCATTCGTTTTTATCTTCAGCTTGTTAAAAATAATCATCAAAAAATGGAAGCAAGTAAAATCATTGCAGATGCAGCAGGAAAAGAGGTGTATCATGCTAGGTGCATTCGTTCTTGGGCGCATGAATACGTTATGGCACATCAGATTCCTTATTCTTGCCGTGGGCATCACACTAAAACATGGAGCTTTCTTTGGGATGAAGATATTCTTCTTCAAATAAAATCATATGTTCAAGAAAATAAGTGGAATATTACACCATATATGATCATGTCGCAAATAAATGAGGTTCTTTTACCAGGGCTTGGATTTGCACCACCTCCAACAATTTCTCTCAATACTGCTAAAAATTATTTAAAGGAGCTTGGGTACGTCTATGAAAGAGTAAAAAAAGGTGTTTATATAGATGGACATGAGAGAGAAGATGTAGTAGCTTATCGGGAGATATTTTTGCAGCGAATAAGTGAACTTGAGTATAGAATGTCTATATTTTCAGGAGATAACATGGAAGTGGGGACTTGGCCAGACAGCAATACATAGCCCCTTATTCTTGTTACACATGATGAATGCATATTTTCTGCTAATGATGGAAGTCGGAGCCTTTGGATTCCTGATGGTGAACAACCTTTATGAAAAAAAGGTCAGGGCCGTTCAATTCATATTAGCGAATTTTTAACCGATGTTTGTGGTCGACTTATGCTTCCTGATGAAATACAACCATCGGATGAGCTTCCTAGAGAAGCCTGTGTCATTACATACCACGGCAAAAATGGAGATGGATGGTGGAAGTCTGAGGACTTGATTAACCAGATAATCAACCGCGCTATTCCCATATTCGAAGCATGTTTTCCAGGATACCAAGCCTTGTTCGCATTTGACAATGCAACAAGCCATGCTATTTTTTCACCTGATGCACTTATCGCCAACTATATGAACCTTGGTCCTGCTGGAAAACAAGAGAAACTACGTAGCACATCATATTTTCGTGAGGGAATAAGATATGACCAGGATATGATTTTTTCATCAGACTATTGTATTCCTGAGTTACATGGAGAAGCTAAAGGATTAAGAGAAGTTCTATGAGAGAGAGGATTGTGGCCAGAAAAAGGATTAAAATTAAAAGAAGCACGAGAATTAATGAGTCAACAACCGGACTTTTTGGCGCAAAAAGGACAGTTGGAAGAAATTATTGTTGCGGCTGGGCACCAAATTGTGTTTTACCCCAAATTTCATTGTGAGCTCAATTACATTGAGAACTTCTGGGGTGCAGCCAAGAGATATAGCTGGTCACATTGTGATTATTCATGAAAAGGATTGCAAAGAACTGTTCCGTTATCTCTTGATTCCGTCTCGCTCCCAACTATTCGCCGATATGCAAGGAAGGCATTTCGCTATATGGATGCATATTGAAAAGGTTTGAAGGGTAAAGCAGCTGAATTTGCTGTTAAAAAATATCGTTCACACCGCCGAATTCCTGATTCAGTTTTAAATTCAATTGAATCCGATTAGTTAATTCTTTTTTTTTTTTGCATGACATAAATTTAATATAGTGCGAGCACTCTAGTCGCATCAAATTTGTGTCACAATATCTTGATCATTAGTGTGGCATGACATCTTCAAGCTATTTTCAAATCGCTACTGCTCAATGAATATGCGCAAATTCGCAAAAAAAAAAAAAAAACTGTAACTCGATAACTACAGGAAAATTTTACAAAATTACGGTTTTTTTTTTGCGAATTTATACATATTCGTTGAGAGTAGTGATTTTGGATGTCTTTAGGATGCTCGCACCATATTATATTATCAATTATTTTAAATGTTCGTCTTTTTTTTTTTTGATCTCTTTGAAGAGTTTACAATAAATATAAATTTATGTGCAAAGCTGCTAATTATCAGTACTGCAGTAATGGTAATGTAAATACCGAAGAATTGTTTCACAAAGTTAGTCTAGTGCATTTAATTAAGCACCAAAGAGGTCGAGTGATCTTGAGGTGTATAAATAAATGGCCCAAATAGTCAACTAAATAGTCAAGTTACCGGTTTTAATTGTATTTATGTCAAATTACTTAATAATATATTATCGTGGCCAAATTACTTGTTTTAATAGCTTATTCTAATAGTATATGAGAACGGCCAAATTGTTTGTTTAATTATAAAATTAGTTCGACTTTTATCCACTACTATTTTTTAAAATATAATTTTAAAAAATTTTCAAGAACTTGGGTTTGTGTAATTTAAGTAGCATTATGGTTTTGAGATAAGATTTTGTATTTATTGAAGTTTTTAAAAAAGGATTAGCAATTTGAAATATATCAATTTTATTTGTCGGGACTAGGTTGTCTGCGCTGTATAAATAAACACCCTTACTATGAGGTGCGCGCTATTTTGGGACGCGCATGAGCGTTATTTTGAAACTATATATATTATTTTTAGGGGACACGATTTTCGAAATAACGCTCATGAGCGTTATTACGCGAAAATACGGTATACGAAATAATGATAGAAATTTATACTCACAAACTATAAATGGGTCAAATGATTAATATTGGTGGTATATTTTTGCATTAATTAATGTCATGGCTGATGCTGAAAATATAAATCCTAACAAAGTTCTCATATATCTTTATTAGTCCAACCATAAAAAGGAAACCAAAAATGGCCCAAATAACATAAATTTTATACAGTCATACCTCTCTAAATGCAAAGCCATGAGCGGCAAAAAAATTCTTGCATTTAGTGTTATATAAGCTGGGGCCATGCATTTAGAGAGACAATGCCTTTAGCGACTGTATTATACCAATTCTCAACATCAGCCATATTCAGCTTAGTCATAACGATAAATATAACTTACTCTCTAGCAAATGATGTTGATTTTATATTAATAAATTTTATCGTTAATGAATACATTTAATCGAGCTTTATACTCACTCACTGGTAATCAATGCAAAATAAGCAATATTTAGACCTAATTAAATTAACGGCATATGTATTATAAAACCAATACTCACAAACTAGTAATTATGTTATTTGTGTAAAATTAGAGGTATTTCTTAGTAAGATTCTAATTTAAAATATAATCGAACTTGTACTTACGACCTGTTGTTAATTTAATATTACTTAGTACTAATTCAAAATAATAAATGATTCAATCAAACTTAAATTAATTAATACTCACTCTCTAATAATAAATTTAATTATATAATTCGACGTTAACCTATTGTTAATTCTTTATTCGTATTCAAACCTACGTACTTTCTGTAAACAATATACGAGAATATTTTAATTGTAAGCTCATGATTAACAAATAAATAAATTTCATGTACATGTTGAGTTGAAATTTCAGCTATCATAGATCCTAATACTTACGCACTATCAAATAACATTATTAAACAAAGATCAAAAAGATTTTTCACATTCAAGCTTTTTTATATTCATACTCACTAACTAGTAATTGATATGATTATCATTTTGAATAATTGGTATTTTTTTGTGATAAGATTTAGATTTAAATATGTATTTTATACTCACTCCCTAATAGTTATACAATTTATTAAGTGCTATATTGAAGCAATTTACTGCAGAATATTATTTCAATGAAATTATTCTATACTCACTCCCTAGTAATCAACATGGTTTATATATTATTCATTAATAATTCAATGTGAAATTTCGAAATCAATAATCGCGTTCATGCTTACAACTTGCTAGTTAATACGAAAAAAGTAGTATTACTCGTTGAAAATTCAAATTTATTAAGAGCAACAAAATGAATACATATTCAAACTTACGTGCTAAAATTCTTAATGTAATTAAAAATTATTGCAAATTCCGAAACATACAATTATCTTTGTACTCACCCCATACTGGTAAGTGATATCATTTTAGCAATTAAATCATTGATTTACGAAATCGTTTAATTATTACTCTAAAGTTATCTAATCTTATACTCACGGACTGAATCTGATATAATATATATAATTATAAAATTAGTATAGATTCATTGCAAAAGATAATAGAATATTAAACTCACTTGCGAATAATTATTGTTGCATCATTTAGTGCTAAAAATTCCAATTACACGAATGAAACAGATCTTTATACCATCTGTAGTTGATATAATTTATATAATTAACAAATTTAACTAATTACTAGATCTAATTGATCTTAGTACTCACTTGCTGGAAAATTAATGTAATTAATTATTATTCATATGCTTCACTAAATAATTTAAAGTCCGATTTAATAATTTAAGGATTTAATACTCACTCCCTAATTGTTAATGTAATAATTAGTTTGAAGCAAGTTTTAGTAATATTTCGTCACAAATTCGGATACTAACATAAAATCTCAAAACTTACTTTCTGATAATTGCGTAATATTTAATAATTGTACATTTTTGAGAATATTTTATGCATATCGAAGTGAAATTTCTACTCACAAACTTTGTTATACAGTACGATTAATGTTATTTTTAAAGATCATTCTTTTATGAATATTACATGGTTGAAATTTATACTCACATTCTATTATAAAGTTTGCGCAATTATATTTGATTATTATAAACTCTGTTTATAAATTAATTTATTTAATTGAACTTCACACTCACTTTCTAATGATTAAAAGTTTATTTAAAAATTGAGTATTATTTAGCATCACTTGAAACCAATTTCTGACAAACTATATCACTATTTAATCTTACTTTCTGCAATTATTTGATGATTATTTAGCATTTATTTTAAACAGAATCGTAGACAATCGAATTTTGTACTCACAACCTAATTATTGAATATAAGTTGTGAATGATTTATCGGGGGTTCATGGACATAAAACATTCAAACTTACTTCCTAAGATTTAATATATATTTTTAAGAATTTTTTTAAATATAATTAATTGTAAGCTTTATCAACAAAGCGAGTGCATAGTTTTCAGACTTACTCTCTAGTAATTTACATAATAGTTCGAAATATTAATACAATTTCTGATTCAACAAATTAAAGTATACATTTGAACTTACTTTCTAGTATTTTAAGTAATTTTGACAGTAATTAATATTAGTTCTGATTCAACAAATTAGCATCCATATTTAAAACTCACTTCCTGATAATTTATGAAGCAATTTGTGGAATTGTTATTTTAGAATTCAATTTAATAAATATTAAGTAATCTAACTTAGTACTTACAAACTGATCATTTATATAATTTACGAAATTGATGAAACATTATTGAAATCCAATACATTCAACTTCTGAATATAAATTAATCGCGTTTTATATACTTACTCACTGTAAATAGCCTTTATTTAGTACAATATATTTTGAAATCCTAATTTAACATGTGAATATATACTTACGAACTATTGATGATAAATAAATACAATCATTGAAATTTAATAATTTTATCGTAAATTCTGAGATGTATGATTTACTTACTCCCTTGTAGATGATTGAAAGCATTTTTAGAAATAATTAATTGGAAAAAATGAATAGCCTAATATATTGTCTACTTACAGTCTTGATGATATAATTTATTTATTTGTTTG